TGACAAATAACCAACAGTGCAGTTGTGCGCATGAATGAGTAATCTAAGTTACTGGTACCTGCAAAGAAGGGAATGCACTGAAGTTCACAGCCATTTCAAACAATTTCGCCTTTCTTACAAAAATCGCAGTAATAAAATAAAGTACGCACCCAGCATTTTTGTAACATATGGTTCAATGTCGATATCCTGAAGGTGTGCATAAGTGCGAGCATGATAAAGACGAAGAGTTGAATCAAGCCGGATGGAGATCCAGACGCCGTCACCAATCCAATGCATATGTCGCACTTGACTATCTCGTCGTGGATGCGCCGCAAAGACCTTCTAAACTGGCCACCTAAGTGCTTTTTTAGGCAAAACCGAACTCTGATGCAAAGGGTTAAAAAGCAAAGTGAAGCTGGTACCTTGACAGTGAGATCATTGGGATCGATAACGATGATGCAGTTGCGATAGGCGGCCCAAATATATTTGCCCACTATGGAAAGAGACCTAACAGAGCTCGTAGCACGGCCAACAGTCATGCAGTGATAACCTGCTTCAGACCAGCCACCACCTATACGAAAAACAATTGGCACTCAATTAGCACTTTGATCTGGTAATCAGTAAATTAAAAAAAAAGAAAAAAAATAACTGAAACAGACCTGTATTACGATGAAAAATTGCAATGGAACCATTGGCCAGAGCAGCAAAAACGCGTCCTTTGTAATGACTAAAAATAATTATCTGACAGAACAGTGCATATAACACGGTATAAAATCTTGTTACTCACAGTACACACATGCACGTCAAAATTCTTCTTTGCCCAGCACCAGTGAATAAAGCCCACGTTGATAATGTGATATTAAAAGACAGACAGATAGCCTACCCACGTAAACACCAAATAAGGAAAAGTCAGCTAACATTTGAAGAGTGTATAATATTATATCAAGCGTAAGCAAACAAACACTTACATGATTGATAAAACAGCGTCAGGCATTTTGATACGCCTCAAACACTTTCGCCATTCGGACACTGCCGAATGCACAAAGATGCTGGAAAGATGAGTTATTTTCATGCAAACAGCGCATTGGAGCCTACAAATCGATATAAAGAAAAAAAAAAATAAATGGCCAGGCACCAACTGCCGGTGCAAAGTTGTATTTTCTGCACAGTTCCCCGCAGATTTTGTCGCTAACGGCACTTTTTCCTGACAGATGCTTCTAGCTAAAAGAACTGTGACTGGCCAATACGACCGTGAGAAAACATTCCCTTAAAATTTTCAACCTTCTAGCTTTTCTGGCCTCCAAGTTAGCAACTTACCCGCAGAAAATTTTTAAAAGCCCGTACGTGGGAATCATGCAAATCTGGGGACTGGGTTTGAAATCGTTAATTCCTACGTGGATGGGGAATACTCCCCTAAAATCACAGCTTTCTAGCTTTTCAGGTTCCTGAGTTAGCAACTTATCCAAAAAAAATTTCACGGGGCCGTAAGTGGAACCACGTGGGCAAGACGACCCGTTTTGGCGATAGGGATCCGTACATGCATGTACATTAAGCCCGCAAAGTTTCAGCCTTATAGCTTTTGTAGGTCTCGAGATGAATAAATAGCAACGCGCACCAGACTAATCGGCGTGATCATGCGTTTTGTGCAATTCAGCCCATCGAAAGATTAACTATTAATGATTTCCACTGCTTTGTACTTTTGTCTATGCAAAAATAGTTCAAACATTGGAAAGTAGTTAAAAATTTCACGCACCGGCGCACGAAAGCTGAATTCGAAACCTTGAAGGGCGAATATCTTTCCCTGATTCCCGAGTTAATAGTTTAACCGCCAAAATTCCCACGAGGCCGTAGGTGATACTCAACAGCGAGGGGACGCTGAATTTGAATAGGCAAGGCTGAGCGTGAGCAAGGGGTTATTACCCTAAAATTTCAGCTTCCTAGACCCCGTGGTTCTGAGATAATAATTTACCCGCGAAAAAATTTCACGCAGCCGTACGTGTTACCCGCGGGTAAGGGAAGGCTGATTTTGAATGGGCAAAGTTGAGCGTGGGCAGGGGGTCATTACCCCAAAATTTCAGCCCTCCTAGACTCGACCTTCCTAAGATAATTTCAGCCTTCCTGAGATATTAATTTACCTGTAAAAAACTTTCACGGGGCCGTACGTGTTACCCGCGGGTACGGGAAGGCTGAATTTA